AGCTATGGTTTTGTACTCATGAGCCACAACGCTGGCTTTTTCTGCTTTTCTTTCCTTTCCAGAATCTCCACATCACGAGTGAATTAAAGCCCGGAACAATGTCTCCTTCTGGCTTTGCTTTGAAAAGGAACCCAGGGGGTTCAGATTTTGCTTGATTGGATCGTTAAAATACCTGGGTCTCTCCAGGAACGAGATTCCATTCCATGGAGATATGAAAAGCGAAGTCGAAGGGATAACAGCCGGGTTCTCCATTTTCGCTGGAGCAATGACACACAAATCTCTCTCCGCTCGTTCAGAATTCCCACCTCACCCCCATAAACCTTGCAAGCAGCTGACATTCTCTCTCCGTCTCTCTTCCCCCCCTTAGTCAAAGCATGTTAGGGCAAATGGATCTGGTTCACAGGGAGCAAAAACGCTCCCGAGCTGTACATTCTCTTGACGCATCTGATTGAGATAATTACTGCGCTCTCTCGCGCGCGGACTTTTGGCTTTGCTAAAAATAGGAACGAGTCGGAGCTGGTGCCCCCTCGGCACCCTGGGATGTTCTTTTCCCAGCAAACCAAACATGCTGGGAATTAAATCACACTGGAGGATGATCCTTGTACGGATATGTGCAAACCTGTCTGCATGAGCCATGTGCTAGATCACACAAAGCTCGGTAGGGTGGATTCCTACAGAATTCCTACAGTGTGGGGCCAAATGCTATTCATTTATTTCAAGGGTCCTTCCATTTCTATCCCATAAAGAACCCAAGGCAGTATAAGAGGCTTGGATGCTTCCCAGTTTAGCTTTGAGAGCATCCCCATGAGGTGGTCCAAGGGGAGGGGGGAAGTTTCGTGGTACAAACTTGGACGAGGATTCCCCAGCCCGACCTGTCATTCTCTAACCACTGCACAATGCTGTTCAGGAAGAACTGCTGGATAAATCTAGTTCAGGTCTCTGCCTGTGGAGCCAGGTTGGGAGTTCAATTCCCCGCTGTGGAACGCCTAGTTTCGCAAGAAGGCTGTGTTGATATTCAGAACATGTTTCTCCACTTTATGAGGTGTGGACCTCTGAAATTTGATTCATTTTAAATTACAAGTTAATGGAAGTGGATTCCCAGCTATTTCTTGTTTTCTTTGGGGGGGGGTGTTTAACATTTTCGAAAGCAATCTATCTGTTTCTTGGTGGGACTGTTGCCTTCGCACCCATCTTCTGCATTTCTTGGAGGAATTCTTTGAGTGTCGGGGGGAAGCACAAAACTGGACTAGACAGATCTAGGAAGCTTCTTAAGATTCCGACATTGTTAAGGTTTCTGTGCAAAGCATGTGGGTAGTGCCTTCCCATAAGTAAGCAACTGAGAAACGTGATTTAAAATAGGGAATTGTGCAACCCAACGTTTTTAAGGTTCTGCGAATCTCTATTTGCACGACTTTCTCCAGTGACCTAGGCATCTGAATTTAAGGATCCATGGCGTCCTGGTTGAGGCATTCAACACGGTTGAATTTGTGTCTGCCTGGTTGTTGATGCTGCCATTTTTTTTAAAAAAAGTGGGGAGTCAATTTTCATTATTAGTTTCCAGACTCATAGCTCTGTTTCTTTGTTTTCTGAAACAGTACGGCAGCTGATGAAATGTGATTGAATTTGACTAATGAAAGAGGTGACCTCCCTCAAGCGAGGTTGACGTTATTGCTAGATTCATATTGAAGAGGAGTATGTATTTGTGTTTGTGTGAGAGAGTTTTAAAACTGGAAATCAATGCAGCACCGGAGAGAGTCTTTAGGATTCTGTGATGGGATCTCGATCACTGTAGAAAGAAGCTGTGGTTTGAACTTCACAGCAGCCACCTAAGCTGCTGAACCCTACAATACATTTTGCAGCTTGGATAGCTGTTTAATATTCAGACTAATACGTGGCATGGATTCACTATCCCACTGGCCTCGGATTCCCCAGCCTCTGTCATGTCCTAGTCAGTCGAGTCCTCTGGGGAGGACAAGCCTGTCACACCAGAACCCCGTAGAGAAAAAAAGAATTGCCCAGCCTTGCAAACCCTTGACCCTAGGGCAGTGGTCCCCAACCTTGGGCCTCCAGATGTTCTTGGACTTCAACTCCCAGAAATTCTTGCCAGCAGAGGTGGTGGTGAAGGTTTCTGGGAGTTGTAGTCCAAGAACACCTGGAGGCCCAAGGTTGGGGACCACTGCCGTAGGGGATTTGTAGATGGCAAGCGTGTGTATAGTAACTGAGCCCATTCATACATGAGAAAGGCAATCCCTTATATAGCAAGGTCTCAAACTGTCCCATGATTTACAGGTTTCTTGTTGTTGTTTAGTCGTCAAGTTGTGCCCGACTCTTCGTGACCCCATGGACCAGAGCACGCCAGGCCCTCCTGTCTTCCACGGCCTCCCAGAGTTGGGTCAAATTCATGTTGGTCACTTCAATGATCCTGTCCAGCCATCTCGGCCTCTGTCGTCCCCTTCTCCTCTTGCCCTCACACTTTCCCAACATCAGGGTCTTTTCCAGGGAGTCTTCTCTTCTCATCTGATGGCCAAAGGATTGGAGCCTCAGCTTTACATGTACCATGGACAAATCTCAAAGCCTCTCTTTACGGATGATCTGTGCACCATGGCTGAAGTCTCCATGGCACTTCTTACACCTTAAGCCATGATGGCACACATCCTAATTAACACATTCCCCTTTTTCGCTCCCGAACTCAGACAAGTCCATCGATCAGGGATACCAGAGACCTGTCAGAACTCAGACGTGTTACACGCCGGGACAGCCCGTACGGCGTGGCGGATTAATCGCCGTTCCTTTGGGGATGTGGCTTCCAATCCAAAAATCAAGGGGAGTGATTAAGAGCTTTTACGGAGGGCTCACCGATCCTGAATTAACAACCCCTGGCATCACAATGACAACGGGAACAACAAACAGTAGTTGCTTCCCAGCCTCAAGAAGACAAGCTCTTTTCTTTGGTGATTAAGCTGTTTCCCTCAACAGGAGCAACCCATCAGTAGAAAGATAATCAACTCTCTCCATCAGCGGTTTTTCAGACTACCTGTCCTCTGGGGAACATTTATATATTGATTAGGTTTGGGAAGGAAGTCCTGCCTACTGCAGGAGCTTCAGTGTCACGTCCTCGGGACTCACTCCGTTTATATTAGTGACAGGCGATCAGTCTCCCTGCTTCCTTGCTGTCTCGTAAGGGCTGGAAATAAAAAGCATCCGTTCAATACATGTAACAAGGAGGATGATAGATAGGTGGCTGAATGAGCTTCGCGTCCCGTCCGCTCCTGGCCAGAATCTTACGGGTTGTCTTGTACGGCTTGTCTAGACTGCCATATCTTAATGCTGCTCATTGAGAAGGAGCTTGGGCACATCTCTCTCCCATGCTTAGTCATGCGCCGACTGCAACTGAGATGCCTCCCATCCAGAGATGGGCACCAGCTCCCCAGCCCTGCCTCCTCGGGCAGGCGGCCGCTCGGAGGCAGCTCCCGGGGGAGGCGGGGCAGGGAAACCCGGCCGCTGTCTCTGAATGGGCGCCTGCTGGAGGAGGCGGGTCTTGGAAGTACTGAGCACCAGTGCAACTGGTCAAGAAACTGGCACGAACCATCAAAAGGGCCGTTTGTGCCCATCTGTAACCCCATCACCTAGTCTATTAGCCGCAATCAGCCACGACGAATGCAATTGTGGCCCTTCTCTATGTGACCACTTCATTCTATCTATTTCTCCTCCTAGTTTATTACCTACTGCTTTTGTTTCCTCCTGGTGAGACATATTTGGGACTTCCTCCATAACAATGACCGGCATACCTCTAGACACAGACTTTATACAGTACGGGGTTCTGTATTCAGGTCTATGTTTTGTTTTCTCCTGCTCCATCTCTGATCCCAAACCAAAGCTAGAAACATCAAGTCTTTTAGGTTTTCCTTTTTTTTTTAACAACAAATCACAATTTCCTCAAGAGGTGTAGGCATTAGAAGTCCTCTTTCAGTGTTCTTTGGGAAAAGCACAGACATATTCCCTTAATAACGTCAATAATTATGAAACGACTATTGACCAAACACATTAATTGACCAAAGTGACCGAAGAGTAGCATTTGCTACATATCAATTGACCAAATATCTCCCACCCCCACCCCACCCCCAGTCAAATCAGATATCGTACAATAGGACCTCCATATCCACGGGGATCAGCTTCAAGCCACACCCCACAGATAGTGAAAATGTGGATAATAGCAAATGTTATTTTTATGGTCTCTGGCTCTCTCTAGTGGCGAGTTCAGGGAACTTCATCATTATAAGTATATATATTGAGGATGTTTCTTTTAATATTTTCATACTGCGGATAAGGGAATCAGTGGATACCGATCCCGTGGATAAAGATTCCTATTGTACTTTAAAAAGACAGAGGGGAAAAGAGTTCATTTTCCCTTCTTGTACTATTTGAGGTCCAGAGGCATTATGAGGTTCACTTCTTCCACCCCCTTTTTGAGGTAGCAACTATTTTCTTTGAAATGAATCAGGTTTTGTAAATATTGACCGACGTAAATATGATTCTCCCCTTGAGAAACGCACAGGGGAAACATCTCATGGCACTGTTGTGGAGCTGAAGAAAACCCAGTGTTCGAAGTGTAGCATTTGCGACATCGCTTCCAGCAGAGACCCGTCTGCAGGGTTTAGCACAATTATGGTCTGGCTCCAGTGTGAAGGACCTTTGGCTTTCTGGCTGCTACTAGCAGGGAGGTCCACTGGCAGTGAGAAAGTCCCCTATCATTTTCTACCGGATCTGGGCAGATGTCTGTAGGTGACCCACATCGGCTTTAGGGCGTATGACCAGAGATTCAATATTCATAATAACGATCACCATGTGCTGTCAATTCTGACTTAGGGTGACCTTATTTAGGGTTTTGTAGGGAGAGAATACACAGAGGTGCTTTACCCTTCCCTTCCTCTAGGGGGAGCCCTGGGACTGTGCAGCTTGCCCAAGGCCACCCAGGCTGGCTCTACTTGCAGGAGGCCCAGTGGTGGAATCGAACTCCCCATCTCTCGCTCTGCAGCCAAAGATTTAAACTACTGAGCTAACAATGCAATTAATGCAACATTGGGGACAATTTCAGCTTTGAGGATCCTCCATGGGCCACGCAAGTCCCCAAAGACAAAGAGGAAGTGTTCGCATGTCCACTTCCGGTTTTGTACAACAACATGTAGTGTGTGTGGAAAGAAAACGGGGGCAAAACTAAGTGCGGGGAAAGGGTACGCCCGTTGCGGAGCAGAAATTCCCTTTAAATAAAAGTGGTTTTGATTGAAGAAGAGAGTTGCAGGATTCGCACCCATGATCAAGTGGGACCAACAGAGGTCCACCCATCCATTAAAACGTGGGCAGGTTCTTATGGGATCTCTGAATCAACCACGGAGTCAGCGGAGGCTTAGCACGAAATTTTGATATGCCTCTCTTTCGTGTTCCCACAAATGGTGCTTCGCGATGTACTCCTTCCCTCGGGTCACGATCTCCCGGCGCAAAGACGGATCGGCAGCCAGTCTTTGGGACAACTGGATAAATTCCTACAAAGAAGGGAGGGGAAAAAAATCAACTCTTCAGATCAGAGTTGTAGAAAAAGAAAACAAACTTTAAAAAAAACACAACTTCTTGTATCTCTCTGGCTGCAATGTTTGCATATTGAGAAAAATAAGTTTAGTTTCATATGAAAATAAGTATTGACTAAGTTTCAATAGCCTTCAAAATTTTCTCTGTTCCCAGGGGCAACAAAAACACTACAGTGGTGCCCCGCTTGACGACCACAACAACTTCCAGTATCTTTCTGGCTGCAATGTTTGCGTATTGAGAAAAAGTGGTGCCCCGCTTGACGATTACTCTGTTAGACGTCAAAATCGCTTGACAATGAGTTTTGGCGATGGGGTTTTTTCGTTTTACGACAATCAGTTCTCTGCTTCGGGAACCGATTTTTCACTTCATGACGATTAAAAACAGCTGATCGTCGGGGTTTCAAAATGGCTCCCCGCTGTTTTCCAGACCTATTTCCGGAAGACAGCAATGCAAAATGGCTTCCCCTATGGAGTATCTTTGCTGGACGAGCAGGTATTTCCCCCATTGGAACGCACTGACCAGTTTTCAATGCATTTCAATGGGGTTTTCACTTTCGCTCGACGACGATTTCGCTTAACAGCAATTTTAACGGAACGCATTATCGTCGTCAGGCAGGGCACCACTGTATTTTATTTCCCTGTAGCTTCAAAGTTCCTGGAAAACTGACATAGCTACTTTCCTGGCTTAGGGTTTTGTTTTAAATCATTTGTTGAATGTCTGCAAACTTTGCGTTTTCTTTAAGTCTGCAAATACTTTCCTTCTATGCCTAGATGGTGCTGTTTTGGCAACAAAAAATATACAAGATATATATTTCCAGGCTACCCACCCACCCATCTATCCACTCACCCACCCACCCATCTTTATCCAAAACAGCACCATCCAGCATAAAAAGGCAGCTGCTAACATGTCAGTATTAAATCATAATCTCTAACTCACTGATCTTAAAAACATTAGCAAATGTGTTAGTGGATTTGTGCATGAATTGGTTAGATGGTTAAATTTTAAAATATTACTTGGAATTGATGAAAATTTCCATAATGAGTTTAACATAGCGAGAAGCGGTCAAACAAGGTCCTTTTGCATTTATCACTTGGAATAAGGAATTTTCAGTAGGCTGATGGAAAAAAAATCAATGAATCAGGCAACTCATTTTGATCCCATGATTTCCACACTCCCAACAGAAATGGCACTGTGGGTGCGATCGGATCTAATGGCTAAACCATTTAAAACCATTTCAGTTTCAACTGTAACAAACTGTACCCTGAGCAGGAATTACATTCCGGCATACATCCTTGTAGAGCCAAAATGACATATTCGACATATGCTGGGGCTTTTAAAAGACACAGTCATGATTCAGCCAGAGCGGAAGGGGATCCATATTACGAGAAATGGCGACAAAGCACCAGTTCATGCCTGGTTCATCTTTTGGATAAACAGGTGTTCGGGGGTTCCTAGCCCCACCTCTGCCAGACAGCCAATGAGAGGCAGCGGCTGGTGGAGGCGGGGCTAGGAAAGCCAGGGTACTTCTTCTGAGTGGCTGCCCACAGGAAGGGGGCGGGGCTGGGAAGCCCCCGACACCGGTTTGGATGAAAAAACGAAGCGGCGCGAACTGCCGATTCGGTGGTTCGCGCCCACCTCTAGTCTGTATCCATCAGTTCTAGGAATGCAACACTATTAATTCCATCAACGTTTATTCTCGAGAACCTGTGCACAGGATTCAAAGGCGCCTCGTATTATTTACTTTGTTACCTGGGGAGTTGAATACAAAAACCCAGTCACTTCATGGGTAATGATTGCTGCGTTCCCTGGAATATTCCTGGCCAGCACCGGAATGTTTAAATCCATTGCCTTAAAAAAAAATTATACAAAAGAAGAAAAGCACTTAACAGATGTGGAATCTTTCTGAGACATCTCGGACCAAAGGCAGTGCAATGAAACAGCCATTCGGGTGATTCTAGCTCAGCGAAACAAATTAATATTTTTTTAAAAACCAAAATAATCAGAGGGTGCCTCTTGCTAGAGTCCCCTTAGAAACCATAGAAAGTTTCAGCTGCCTCGGTTTCATGGCCTTGGAGCAATGGCCGAGATACCCTACATGTTTCTTTCCTTCCGGTTCGTTTTCCCTCCTCTCCAGTTTTCATAGAGTCATAAAACAGTTGAATTCGGAGGGGCGAACAAGGCTATCGAGTCCAACCCCCCCTGCTCCGTGCAAGAATCCAAATCAAAGCAGAAGATGGTCCAATCTTCCCTTGAACACCTCCAGCATCGGTGTGATCACGAGGTCACGAGTTCCATGGTCGTACTACTCTAACAGTTAATAAGTTTTCCCTGATGTTCAGCCTAAATCTGTCTTCCGGTCACTTGAGTCCATTATCGTGTGTCCTGCTCTCCTATCTCCCCTCGAGCGTTCTTTTCTCAAGGCTAAAGATGCCCAGTTCTTTCACTCATAAGGCTCGGCTCCCAGCCCTCCCGATCATCCTGCTTGCCCTCCCCTGAACTTACTCCAGTTTGTTTTGCATCCTCTCGTTATTACTGTCTTTTTTAACCACCGAAGAGCCTTTGACGAACAGAGGTGCTGGGGTACTTAAAAAGAATACATTATGCCATTAGGAGATACGATGGCTAAGTTTACTTTAGTTGGGGGAAGGACTCACAAGCTGTTCTTCTCCATCGGGGCATAAAACCTTTCAATCTCTTGTGGTTATAAAAAGGGCCGAAGGTAAATCCTCAACATCCCTGGGGAAACCCCACCACCCACCCCCCAGCCTGCTGGAGACGTCCCTCAAAGACAATCCGCAACCCTACACACTAATTACCCCTCGTGGGCTTCGGGAAAGCCTAGAAACATGTTGCTTTTGAGTGCTTAATGACTCCTCATGTCCAATTACCACAATGGCAACGGAATTCAGTTAACGGAAAGACATCTCCTCATCCAGGTCGTTCAATCCATACTGATTTCACCGGCACTTAGGAGCGAAGGCGCTTTTAATTACTGTCATTTTCGCTTCCAAAATGCGTCTTTCTCTCTCTCCCTCTCTCTCTCTGAGTGTGCGATTTGCCTGCAGCACAATCAGCGTGAGAGCAAAGCATGAGATTCTGGAAGTGGGAGGATTTTGGGGGGAAAAAACAGATCTTCCAAGTATGCACACAGCCAAGCAACGATTGGGCTGTTGCATTTAATCCAGAGGTGGGCGAGGATGCTCCTCCAGATGTTTTCAATCTATTCGTCTCGCGCCTGCTCTAGAAACTCACTCCTCGTTCTGAAAAAAAAATATATCAGCATTTCTGGTCTCTGGCTTTCACGCCAACGTGAAAGCCAGATCTCCAAGCTTGGAGATCGCAGTACGGTGGAGCAATGGTTCCTAACCTTGGGTCTCCAGATGTTCTCCCAGAAGCCTTCCCCACTGATTGTGCTGGACAGGATTTCTGGGAGATGTCCTCCAAGAACATCTGGGGACCCGCTGTGGTGAGGAGCATCAAGACAGGTTGAAAAAAAAAAGGACCAGAGGAGGGAGAGGTAATCAGAATGGTCCATCTGGAACAACATCAAGCACCTTCCCTTTGATGCCACCATGTCACTATTCTCTACGACCTTCCCCAACGGTCCCTAAAGGAAAGCTGGCATCTTCCTTTCCTACCGGCCTGGTTTCACGCTCCACCCTGCTAGGATCTTAAAAGACAAAGAGGGCTTCGGTTACAACACGGAGATGAGCTAACTTCATAACATCAGGAAGATCAACAATGGACCTGGGTGGAAAATAACAGACAGCCGACGGCTGCAGACCAACTGGCCTCATCCAAAAAGGATGAACGGCGCTTGCCACTGTGGGTTGGAGCTTGCGAGGCGCCTGGCTGTCTCCCCAGGGAGAGTAAATCTCTCTTAACTTTGCCCTGGGGTGTAAGAATAGAGGAATGGGAAGCGGTGTGATTCGGCGAGACTGTTTTCCAAACCTCAGAGAAGCTGCTTTTCCACAACGTCCGCTTGCTGAACTCTTTCGGCCACCATGACGGCTTTCCTCAAACTCTGATTTTCCACGTACACGGACCCCGAACAGGGGGGTGGCTCCGTGATGGGTTTCGAAAGCCATTTTCGCCTTGGTTAATGAAACCGCGTTTTGACAGATGGCACTTCCCCCCCCCCGGCTGCCCATTTCAGGTAAGGGGGGAAATCGCCTAATTAAAATGGCACCGGCCTTCAAGAGCTGCCTCTCTCTCTCTCTGCTCGCTGGGCAGATGGCACCACGTTACCGTCAAGCCCTACAGGAGTTATCGGCAGGAAAGTTGGACAAAACAAGGATTTGTGAGGAGGGAGGGGGAAGAAACAAGACACACAGAGAAAGAGGGAGCTTCATGGGTTGGGAATCTAAACAGAAGAAACAATAAGTATCGCTGGAAAAAAGAAAGAAAGATCTATGCAGAGGTGAACAGGTGCCCGTTTTCCATGTGTTTGACTACAATTCTGTTCCAGTGAATAATTTTTTTCAAGAACCCGGCAGGAAAAATCTATCTCTCGGGGACGGGAAATGGGCTAACCGCCACGGGCTGCTGGACTACAACACCTATCAGCCCCAGCCAGCGCACCTAGTCATGAAAGAGGGTGGGAATTTCCCTCCGAGAAAGTCTAGGGGAAGCTACCCATTTCCCAACCCAGTGTCTACCGATGTGAATCTAAAGATGGATCTCAACGGTGTCAGTGTTTAGAAGCGTATTTGGAATTTAGCACTGCCTGTAGAAATGGGTTCGGTTCCAGAAATGCAGTACCAAATCGGAAGGATAGTGACCCCCATCTCCGGGCACGATGCCTCGGGATATAAGGATCGGGTCATTATGAGTTACTTTTTGTGATATCTATCTCCAGTTTATTCTGTGCCACTGCTGTGCACCGTGAATGGAAGGCGCGCTGGTGTCTAGCCAGAGGGCGTTCCATTGCTGAAATAAATCAAACATGCCATATACTATTGAAATAATGCATTATGTGATTATGGCCCAAGTTTCATTTCAGCTCTTAACGCAACCGTGAGGAATCTAAGGTCCACCCGTCTCTGGCCAACTCAGATCAGCCTCAGCCCAAGGAGTTAGGGGCCAAGGATTATGAGTGGCCCGGTCCAGGGCTTTAAAAAGTAACAGTCCCAATGACGTGCATATTTATTGGGCTCTCATCTGCCCTAGCAGCATAGCCAACATTTACGGATATTTAGTTATAAATACCAGGTAACCCATCGGTCAGCGCAACGGCGATGGTGCAAGAAAGTCATGCTCTACGTTGGCCAAAGGAGTGTCTGTACGGACGGAATTTTTAAAGAATTTAGGGTTGAGGCCGGGAAGGTCCTGCCTTCAGTCCGAGTACAGAATCGCCACCAAAAGCGTACGCCAATTATGAATGCGACAATTTTCTTTTCTGATTGTGGTCGCTTATCAACTGCAAGGGGGTTTATTCTATCTACTATGTTGCAGATTTGATTTCCAACCGCTTTGGCTACAGACTCAGGACAGACCTTGGCATTTGAAAAGGTGATCAGTGTGCGGAAAGAAACAGGAGAATTCCCCCCCCCTTACTCCCCTTTCATTCTTTCATCTTTTCTGTTCCCCCCACCCCCAAAAAACTTTTATCTGACATTCAAAACTTATCTCTATCATCACAAGGATTAAATACTCATTTAAAAAAAACACAAAACCAATTAAATCAAATTTCAATTCTCAGAAGCTGGGGTTTTTACCTAGCATGCTGAGAAGACCTGCTCAGAAGCACCCGATTAGCTCACTGCGGGGTCACAAGGATTTATAAACTTCAGATAGAAAGAACGGACTCGTGGTGGTAACGGAAGGTGGTCCAGTTTTATCCGGGACATGTTTTCTCATAGATTGCAGCCGACTTCATCAGCTGCCAGAGGGCCGCAGTCCTTGAACCTTATGCCCAGTAAAACCGAGCACTCTTCAAGGTGTCACGAGACTCTTTGTCAAGTCTGCCATAACATCCTGACATGAGTACACAAGACTACAGACAAATAGAAGTCTGCTTCACAATTGATGAAGACTCTGGTGTGACCGAAGAAATGGATTGCACTCCACCAAAGACTATACAAAATAATACCAGAGGGTCTTTCGTGTATCACAAGGTTACAATGCCGGTGGGATTTCCTGCTCAGGGGAAGCCCAACATGCTATGGGCTGGCCTGCTCAGCGCTATAGCAAATGCGCGCTATGGCAATACGCTGTTGTAAGTGCTGAGGATTGCCGAGCCGCGTGTCTTGGCTGAAAGAGCTCACTCATTTAACCAGATTGTGGTGGCTGTTGTCTTTTTCTCCTTTTGTGGTTCTGAAAGGCAGACGGGAGCGTGGACAGAAATGACAAGCTAGGAAAGGAAAAGGCGAGGAGACTCTCTCCCCCCCACACACACACTCCTGCCACAGCTTCAACGCTCAGATGCAATTACCTCTAAGATTGCAGCTGACATGCCCTCGGAAACCGAACTGTTCACCACAGCGAAAGATCTTTTCACAGCAGCGTGGAGGTCTTCCTGGGGGATCTCCGGGAGTAAATGGACCCCATCCACCCTGCCGAGTAAATATTGATTTGTCCGTTAATCAGCCTTCAGATGTAGGACTTGGGGGGTGGGAATACTAAAAACACAGGTGGATCAAACGCAACCAAAGGTTCTTAATCAGAAACAGACTGGAATCTTTGGCACGGGCTTTATTAGAAAGAGTTAGTCCACCCAACTCTGTGCTGTTTGTTATTTGATGCAGATCCATATTTAGACTTTCCTTCGATAAACTCAACACAGCCGATACAGAGGCTCTCATCCTGCCCATCGCATTCCCACAAGAGCCCAGTGATAGATTGGGGGGGTGTATCCGGCTGGTGAGCTTCACGGTTGTGGGTGGGTAGGATCTGAACCCAGATCTTTGGTGTCCTTCGTTCAGCAGGTTAACCACCCCGCCATCCATGATCGAGAAGAGCCAACAGTGGCTCTCTGGAGTCATCAGAGGAGAGGATTAGCCCTTTCTGCTAAAATAAATGGGCACTTCTGGCTGTCCCCGCTCACCTTTGCCCCTCCCACTGCTAGAATGCAGCCCCCCCCAGAGAACTGGGGTTGAATTTGGTCCTCAGGTTGAAAAGAGGTTCCCTAGCTTCGGCTCAGATCATGGAGGATTGATACGAGTCAGGGAAGTAGTTCCATTTTTCTCTGGCTCAGAAGAAAATCCAAGCTGGAAAAGAATTTGTGGATAGGGAAAATAATACCCAAGGTCAGCAATCCAAGTCCTCAATGTACATACGCGAGGACTGCTGTATCCACGGACAAGCGATTCCAAGCCCCCCCCCCATGGATGCTGAAACATGTGGAAGTATGGAACGCTAAGCATTGCATGGTCTCTGCTTCCCTCTAGTGGTTGGTTCTGGTAAACACACCCTGAAAAGACATACCGTATTTTTCAGTGTATAAGACGCCCTCCACATTTCTAACCTAAAATTAAGAAATCTAAGTGGGGCTTAGCAAGTATAGGGGGAAAGGGATCAAAGCACTGCAGGATCGCTTTGATCCCTGCTTTCCCCTCCACTTGTTTACTCTCTCCTCAGCTTACTTCTATGTATAAGATGACCCCCAATTTTCAGTCTAAAGAATTTAGACAAAAGTATAGACATGGAAAAATATGGTAGCTATTTCTGAGGTTTTTTAATTTAGTACATTCAGCCACCAGTGAATTAGCGGATACTGATCCTGTGGATAGGGGGTCCTACTGTATTTCTGAAACAGAAACCATATGCTTCAGGGACATCAACCCCCTAAACAAAGCTCTTAAAAGCAGCGTGTGCCAGAATTGAAGTTCCTGAGTGCATCAAAAACCTTACACAATAAGGATGAAAATGGCTATGCACAAATAATTATATTTGTAGAGAATTAGGTAAACAGAACTGTCTCTTTTTTTAAAACTAGAACTGTGTAGGTAAGACAAGTGACCTTATTCCCACCTTACCTTTTCACTTTCTCTTTGACTTCTTCGGTGAACACCGGATCAACCTACAGCAGAAAAACAAACACCAGTATCTGAAGCTGGCCAAACGTCGAAAAAGAAAGAACCTAACAGCCGTTCAGCATGGAACGGCACATAGCAGAGAGACTTTAAAGGGCTCACTCATCACGGCTACAGAAAGAAAAGAGAAGCCTTCTACAAATAGCCACACCATCTTCCCTACCTAGGTTGCCATCTTTCCTATGTGCTTTTCCTCCTTCCTATCTGAAAGCAGATAGAACGAAATGGAGAAAACAGAATCCCAGTTGTTCGGGTTGGACGCGATTTGAACTCGTGATCCAGCGGAGAAAAATGTCACTCCATCCCCCACATTGGCTGAGCCGCTCTGCCCAACCTTTCTTACGACCCCGGAGGGCTGGAACGATACCCAAACCTTTGAAAATCTTTCAAGCTGAGGTGGTCTGCCACTAAACCAGAGGCAGGTAAATGTTTCCCCGCTTAAAAAAGAAAGATGGAAAAAAGGGTGGCCCAGGGGGCTACCAACTGGCTAGCTTGCAGTTGGCGCTGGAGAAGATCTTGATATGCATGATCTTGAAACAGATCATCAAGCAGTGAAAACTATGATTGAGGTAGAATTCTGGACTTTCAGCCCACAAACACACACCTAACAACCCCTTGCTTTCGTTCAACTGGAGCAGAGCCTAGCTCAGAAACGGCAGGGGTCTTTCAGGCCTATGCTTCCTGTTGTTAATGTGTTTTTTTTTAAAGGAAGCTGCAGCAGTGCTTCCTGGGAGTTGTAGTTCTATGGGAGGCGCAATTCACAAAACCTATGGCGTAGTGAGACCACAACTCCCACGAAACACCACCAGAGTGTTTCAGGCGAGCAAAACGTAGGTGTGCGTTTATGGGCTGGAAAACTCCCCAGAATTTTCCCTGGGGAATCCTTGGAAAAAAGATCTGGGAACGGTAGCCCCAAAATTAAAGAAATAATATACCCCTAATTACTGCAATGGCAGCTGGTGGGACAGGCAAATTTACATGTACAGTGGTGCCTCGCTTAACGAGTGCACCGTATAACGACGAAATTGCATAGCGATGCGGTTTCCGCGATCGCTAATGCAATCGCTTACCGATGGCCCCAATGGGCGAAACTTGCATAGCGAAGGTCGGTAAGCGTTTTGCTTACCAACCTTCGCTTTGCGACCCGCGGATCAGCTGTTCGGCGGGTGCAAAATGGCCACCGGAACAGCCGAAATGGCCGCGTGCAGCGCATTCACGCCCTCCCCTCGCTTACCGAGGGCGCGAAAATGGCTGCCGGCTATGGGAAGAGTTTTCAGCCAATTTGGAACAATGGCTTTTTACTTTCCGTTTAACGAAGTTTTCACATAGCAAAGGTTAATCCGGAGGCACCACTGTACTTTGACAACTGAACTTTCGGCGACGTTTTCAGAGCCAACAAGGAGGAAATGACTTGCAGTCGTTCCACCCCCTGGCCCTAAAGTCCTCAATTAGACAGTTTCCCAGATTTTAGCCTGAACCTCCGACAGGTAAAAGCAGATTTATTAGGCGCATCTCTCCACACACCCCCGCCGCACTTATAGTCAGCTAGTTTCACAGAGCCTCCTGCCAGACACCGAAGCCTCCTTCGTTTGTTTCCCGCTAATATCGGCTAATTATGTGCAAACACCCATCAGCCAGCGATGGCCTTGAAAACAGCCCCGAACGTGGAGTGGAACACAGCAAGGAGCTGCCGGTTTCGGAGGCGACGTGAAAGGCATAGAGAGAAACATCAGCGGCTCATCTGCAGTCACAGAACACGGCCGCTCCGCAGGGGGAAAGAGCGCTTTCCGCCTCGTACGGGCACTGAAACCCTCGACATGTTCAGAAAAGCAAGCAGGATACTTGCAAGGAAAATAGCAACCTGGAGCAGGACGGTGGGTGTTATTTTCAGCAGGAAAATGAGAGGAAAGGCAGGGTTGGCTGAAGCCCAAGTTATTTTGCTGCCCGAGATAGCCCCCCCCCAATTCCGTGGACGATTGGTCTCCGTTAGAGATGGGCGTGAACCAGAAGAACGGTGGTTTGTAGTTAACGATGAAAGACTATGAACGTCCGGAAAAACGAACTGGTTAATGGTTCGTTTTTCTAGTTCATGCTGGAGGGGGTGACTCCCTATTCCTACCACCTTTGCTACGGGTGCAAGCTAAGAAGCAGCCGCTGTCTACTTTTCTGGAACTTCCTTTAGAGGGTCTGACTGTCATGGTGAATGCCTGGTCTTAAAACACTCACACTCTAGCGCAGAGGTCCCCATAAAACTATGGGCATCTATGAAACGTTAAATAAAATAATCTTAAAATGTTAAGATATGGGGTACAAACCAGGAAGAGGATCTGCACCATCCCTTGCACATCACTTTAGTGCACAGAAAGTCTCACAACTAGGTGGGGGTCGAATGACTGAAAAGCATCTGCATATGTTGACCTTTAAACACAAATGTGCACTCAACAAAAAGCAGAGCATGCATATAGCAAATGTTCATTGGAAGGGGTCAATAAATGCTTACCGCAGGTCCGATGATAATCAAATGCACGTTGGGTTCTTTGTGGTGCCATTCTATTAAATCACAAGAAAAAGTTTAGGTTAGGGGGAGAAATTGGGGGGGGGGAATTGGCTAGAATCCTATTGCTTATGTATGCCAGCATCACAACAGTGGCACAAACCACAGTAGCTGCTGCTTGTATTCCTTGCTGCAGACTAAGTCACACCACTGGCACTCAAGGGGGAATACATGTGTTGACGCCTTAACTAGCAGCAATTCGTAGCTGAGATTTACACCATCGCACTTATGCTGGCATATGTACGCAACAGGATTCTGGCATATAATTCTACTGCTGTTCCATTCAAGAAATGGTGTCGAGTTCGTGCCGCTTCGTTTTTCAGCCGAACAAGTGCTTGGCGCTTCCTAGCCCCACCTCTTCCAATGGGTGCCCACTCCGATGGCAACGCCCCAGCTTCTCCACCCTGCCTCTGCCTTGCCTCTTTTGAGACAACTCCAATCGGAAATACACACTGAAAGTGTCTGCAACACAGGTGTGATTATTTCTGTGCGAAGAGGAAGTCAACCTGGAGTGGAACTAACACTATCAATAAAACGACAAGAGACCTTGGTAGGGTTCTTTATAACCAGTGTCGCTGGCGAGTTGTGTATTTACGGTAAAGCACGCAATTTTTATCTTTATCTTTTTTTAAACAGAACAAATCCATTCCACGCCACTGGAGCATGATAACCAGCCGCATAAAAACGGAATTTATGATACAGGCAGACCGCTATAGGGCTTTCCGTTTGGAGAACGTAGCAGGTCTTAGATACGTTAAAGCGGTCCAGCGTTGAGTAGTTTCCGTTTCCCGTCAATGCCAGTAAGGGTTACGCTGGATCCCTGGGAGACGAATTAAGCGTATTCGCCAGGCGACAGCCTCACCGTTATGAGCCAGCCCCAGTGCTTGTAATGTCAAATTACATGAAGACAGTAGCACAAATAACTCCATTTCAATGTAGGGAGATTAGATTAGCCTGATGATTAAATTCATCATTTAATCAATGACCCGTCCTCGGAGAGGCTGCTTCGGAGGACATGCCGATTTTCCGTTTTGCCTTCTTTAACAAAAGCGTAAGGGTTGGTATCTCGCCATCTTTCTGATCCGGCAGCTGCCCTTCTCAAGCGTACGCTGCTCTAGCCAAGGACGCCGGGCGTCCCCACAAAACTACAGTTCCCACAATTCTTTGGTGGAGCCACTAGAAAGCCAAGTTTGTGGTTACGAGTGGACCACTGGAAGTGTGCAAGTGGAATGTAGGAATGAAAGGATGAGCAAAGCACGATTGTATCCATGAGCAGCCCTCTTGGAAGACGCAGGCCCAGGGACCTCATTTGAACCAGTGATTGGGTCTCAGATTTTGCATTCAGCACTGAAATGAAACCCACCAGGTACTAACCTGCAAAAGCATCCACTAAATAAAGGGGATCCTTGACTCTTCTAAGGCCGCAGATCAACAAGAAGAGGCGTAGATCGCTGTCGTCCGGGGGAATCTCTGTAAACAAAGCCATCACACACATACATAGAAAAACGATCACTGTTTTTTGGTGTTGCTTTTGTTTCCCCCTTTTTTTTAGCGTGGTATCGGTTCGATCCTGTTTTGGATCTGTAGATCTGTTCAATCCTTTTTTGGGGGGGGATCTGTAGACTTATTATTGGGGTTTAGATATTGTCTTTCAAGGATGCAAGCTGCCTTGGGGTCCCTTTTAAGGAGAAAGGTGAAGTAAAAACAAAAATTTATTTTTCCTAGTGGCTGGATTTGGCAGCTCACCACTTTGCCACGGTCTGAGGACCCCTGCCCTATGTGGCTGTGGAAAATTTCAATCAACACAGCACTCAATGTGCATGCCATTGATGCCCCACCACACAGCCCAAAGGAGATCTAGCCAATGGCTGAGATCATGCTATGGAAGTAGCCCGCTTCTGGCCCAACATATTCAATTATTTTAACATTTTAACTTCTTGTTTTTTCCCCCATTTAAAAATAGGCTCGTTGTTTTAGCTAGCGGCAGTGTTTATTGTATTTTTTTGTACATAACGTGCATACTACATGGCTTCATAGCTGATCAGGCTGTCAATTTGTTTTTAGTTTTACCTCTATTTCATAAGCCTCCATAATCTTAAATTGTGCAAAGCTCAAATAATAATAATAATAATCCATCCTCTACTTGGAGATGACAAGGAGAATAGTGGGTTGATGTTGTTTTAAATGTTACTTTGCATGAGTCTTTGGTCAAAATAATGTCAAACCTGACTCTACTGTGCTTTGCCGAGAAAGCGCAAGGAGATAAAGCCCCCGGTTCCCCTTTCTGAAAATTAGAAAAGAATGCACCCCGCCTGAAAGTGGTGCATATCGGCTCCCGAAATGTTATACGATCCGCAAGCCATTGAGTCAAAGCTGACATTTCCCGGATTAATAGAGCGCCGGAGAAATCTACCAAAGATAACTATCCGCCCTCTTCAATGCTTCCTCAAAGCGCCTCTTCCTTGAAAAGGGGGGGGGGAAATATAATAATCATCATCGTCTCCCAAAGTAAGTTCTTCAAAGAGGCACTTGAGCCGACACGGGCGAGAGATGCAAATCAAACCACATTTCGCCGTGCGTTTAGAGAGGAAAGCGGAGGGAACAAGATATTTGGAAAGGAGATCGAAGTTGGAAGGGAGCAGCTCAAGATGACTACGTCGCGGGACGTTGGTGGGAAGACAGAAGTGGGCTGCTTCCGTTCCAGAGATCATAACCCCTGAGCAAGTAAGCAAACTATGAAAGACCTAAAAAAAAACACAAACCCACACCCTACTTTATTGGTGCAAATTTTGTTCCTGCTAAGGTCAAGTCCGAGATTCTGTAACGGCTGCAAAAATCTATTGTGTCTCCTGCATACTGTTAATTTTTAAAATTCCGTCAATTATCTTGGCTCCTTTTTTGGGGAGAAAGGCGAGGTAGAAAAATATTTAAAATAAATAAATTAATAAATAAATGTAGGTGGTTACCAACGGTGTCCTGATAAGTCAGTGGTTCCCTCTGCCTTGGGTCCCCAAAAATGTTCACGGATCACAGAACTCCCAGAAATCCAGACCAGCACAGCTCAGAGTGAAGGCTTCTGGGAGTTTTAGCCCAAGAATATCTGGGGGACCCAAGGCTGGGCACCACTGTTGCTATAAGTAGGGGAGAAAGCAGAGCTAACTAAGTGTGCTCACTAGTCATTGGAGAGCATCCAGGGGTCTCCAAGTGACCTCCTTAGCAGACCAGTCCCGTTCTGTTTCCAAAGAAGCGGGGCTTTTAAAAGCATAGAACATAGAAGGGACAAAAGTGTGCTTATCTTTTGGATACATCGTTTTCTTCTTCTCCAGTAGAGTATGAACTTATCATAACTGTGTGCTGTCAAGTCTGTTCTGACTTATGAAGACCATTTCCATGATTTTTAAGAAGAGAAGACTCGGAAGTGGTTGACCGTTCCCTTCTTCTGGGTGGGATCCCTGGGACTGGGATCCCAGCTGGCCCAAGGCTACCCAGGATGGCTCTTCCATCCGGAGGCACGGAGCGGAATCAAACTCCCAACCTTTGGCTCTGCAGATGAAGACCTAACCCCCTGAGCTACGTAGCCAGCTATTAGAGGTTCAAAAGGGTCCTGAGATGTTCACTGTTTCCCTCTCTTAATACACAGTCCCCTGGACCAGTTATGTTGCTGCCGGTGAGAGGAAATCTTGAAATACCTCTCCACTTCCCTGGCAACAGAAAAATTTCCCCAACAAGAATTCAATGGCTGATTTACAGCCTTGCCACGTCGGCAAAACTAGCTGTTTAAAGACACTGACGATACGCTGGCTAAAATCCTGTTGAGCTTGATGCAGTGGAAACTTACAACTTTGGACATTCCCCAGAGTTACAGTCAGGCAGTTTGCATTGTGTGCACAAATTCGCAATTCGCTGTGCAATTCTCCATTACAACTAGTTGCGCAACATACGGCCAGAACCACTTGACAGATATGATCCCTGCCTCGGCGTGTATTTTTTTTTCCCTGCCTGTTGCAATGTTGAATTATGCAGGCATAACTATGTAACAGGATTTTAGCCGTTTCCCCCCATTCCCCGTGTTTCGCCGTCCTCTCCTCGCCTTTCTTAAAGTTGTGGGTATTCTCTTGAAAGACTAGCTTTAAAATAAGGCGATCAACCCTCTCTCAAGCTATCAAAGTAGCTTTGGACGTTGATATACTTAAATGTCACCAGGGATTGGAAGCGGGTGGCACATTCCGGCAATATTGCTTTTTAAAATTAAAAACCAATCCTAGGAGCTTCGAATGCTTTTGTTTTCATAGTAAATTTCAAATGGACGGTTTAGAGTCAACTTCAAGAGGCTCCTCTTTTTCACATAAGGGCTCAAGAAGAGAACGGAGGAAGTCCAAGGAGGATCTGGCAGCTATTTTATTTTTAATTTCATTGTGTATGTGTGTGTTTTTGTGTAAAATGCAAGGGTGCAAAGGTAAAGTTTTTAAAAAATCTATTGACTAAACAGTAGGAGAGAGAAAAGGATGATTTCTCATCAAAATATCCAAAATACTCTAAATCTCTTTCTCACACACACAAACAAGTTTTGTTGTATATTATATGGAGGAGAGAACTGCCTTAATGCCCCCAACCCCTTTCTGGTCTCCCAAATTTTGACTTTTCCCGGGCATAATCCCCCACTAAGCGTGGCAAACCCTACCAAAAGCTCATATTAACAATAATTCCTGAAGGATCAGTGAGAAAAAAAAGTATTCACTTTAAAACAAGCACACACACACACGAGGAACATTCGCTGCATGCCGTCCTGGCGAGCGTGCCGACGAAATTTTAAAAAGAAAGAAAAAGCCCGTCTGTGGATTGCTGATCAAATTCTCACAAAACGCGCCTTGCGTTCCATCTTACCGCCGGCCTGCAGGCTTTTAAGCAACTCCAGGATATCAAAGAGAAACTGGCTGGGAGTAAAGGCCTCTGCCCGGAGAAGTGTTTCTTATCTTGAGTGATAAATAGAGAGAGACATTTTTCCCTGCTTTCACAAAGAAAGAGAATGTAAGACATTTAGTCTGATTGCAGCCAAGCTGCCTGCCGCTCCGTCTTCTCCGATAAACGGTTCGCTCAACTAGAGGGTGGCTTTGGACCAGCTGCGGGCTCAACAGCTTTTCCCGTATCATCCCTCGATTGTGGAGACCCCACAACTCAGTCTTTTCTCCTCCTAGGACCTCAGTGGTGGAGGAGACCATTTCGAGCCCTGGAAAAAATTGGTTCCGAATCTCAAAATGAACCCCAACTCCTGAGAAACGTCTGGAGGAATGAAGTTCCTAGAAGCATAATTTGACCCCAACGTCAAGTCCTCTGAAGCCTTTTCAAATGAAAGAAGAAGAAGAAATAGGCAGGGAATGGTTCAAGTCTGGAGGAACTCTCGTGGGGAGAAGCTTGTGGTCCACACTTGGAATATACAAGGATAATACTGATGAACGTAAGTTGCAAGTTTGATTCCCCGCTACACCTCTATGACAAGGGTTGGACCCGATGAGCCATAGGGTCTGCACTTCTAAGACTGTTATTATGAACTGCTGGATATCTCAGGGGTTGAGGTCTTTGGCTGTGAAGCCAGAAGTTGGGAGTTTGATTCCCCCACTGGGCCTCCTTGAAAGGGGTTGGATTGGATGACCCATAGGGTCCCTTCCAGCTCTGTGGTTCTAAGATGAGGATGATGAGTTAAAAATGGGGAAGATCCTCAGTTTCTGAGCTCCCAAGGCTGACCCCAGGAATGCGGACTCAAGTCTTGGAATCCACTGTCCAATCAGACTTGAGTTTTTTTCCAAATAAGTTCGGTTCAACTCCCGACCCCTTCCTGCCCTTTTTCTGGGTTGTTTTTAATAGGGACCCAGTACCAAAGACTCAGACTTGAGTCTCGGAGCCAAAGATTGGCTGACATCCCCTGCTGACACCCACCAGCCTAGTTCGCTCGCAACTCAAACGAAATTCGCGAGCCTCCCCTCCTTCCTTCCCAGCCTTTTCCCGGAAAGCTGGTGCCTTTTCCGTTGGCGGGCATTCCAGGCTGGAAACACATGGCCTTTCCTCTCCTCGAGAGCCAGTTCTTCTCTGACGCTGGCATCGAGCTAAATGGCAGGGGTTATCTCTCTGATCCTCGCTTCTGGTTCCTTTTGAACCACCCGGTCCCTTTCATTCCTCCCTTGAAGAACGGGCGCCTTTTCATCTCAACATTTCAAAGCATTAACCGATCACATACCAAAAAATAAAAAAAAGCGGAACTCGTTGCTGAGTGTTCACCCCTCGAGCCCGCGACAGTTGTTTTATGTTTTTCCCACTGTTTTCGGTCGTTCGGAATACTTTCCACCTCCTCTTTCCTCCTAAGCGCCAAAATAAGCCTTTTGATCATTTTCCTTTTAAATTTTTTTTTAAATTGAAAAACGTCATTTTCTTCCTCGACGCCTCAAAAGAAGTCATCCTTTGGCAGGTTCTCTGGGCCCTTCGGGACCGTTCGCCTGTTTGAGAAGGCATCGCCTGCTTGGATCCTCAGCAGTCCTACAGGCGAGCCAGGCTCGAAAGCTTGGGATCCATAGGGTGACTCCGATTCCCAATGCCTGCTTGGATCCTGAGCAGTCCTACAAGCGAGCCAGGCTCGAAAGCTTAGGATCCATAGGGTCACTCCGATTCCCAATGGGACGCACCAAGCAGAAATGGCTCCAAATAGTCCTTTTTAAAAGGGGGAAAAGAACCAGATCAGGAAGTGCCAAAATGGGCACTTCCCAATTTGGAGGCACGGGGGGGGGGGCCCTTTTTAAAAGGAAAAAAACAAACAGATCAGGAAGTGCCAAGATGGGCACTTCCCAATTTGGGGGCATTGGGGGGGGGGGGCAGGGAGCTTTGGAAAATCTTTTAATATCATGGAATAATGCAATAGGAAGGGACCCTCTAAGGTCATCAAGCCCAACCCCCTGCTTAAGGCAGGAATCCAAATCAAAGGAGATCTGACAGAGGATGGTCCAATGTTCTCTTGAATGCCTCCAGCGTTGGAGCGTTCACCGCCTCCCGAGGACATGGGTTCTGTTGTCGTACTGCTCTACTCCTCCCGAGGCCATGGGTTCTGTTGTTGTACCGCTCTAACAGTTAGGAAGTTTTTCCCCGATATTCAGCTGAAATCTGGTTTCCTGGAACTTGAGCCCGTTATTACGTGTCCTACACTCTGGGATGATCGAGGACAGATCCTGCCATTCCTCTGTAGGATGACCCTTCAAGTATCTGGAGATTGCTATCCTATCAATCCTGTTGATCAGGAGTTTTTTTTTAGCCACTCTAGATGCGTTACACACCTAATTTTTTTCCTTCAAGTATCTGGAGATGCTATCCTATCAATCGTGTTGATCAGGAGTTTTTTTTAGCCGCTCTAGATGCGTTACACACCTAATTTTTTTTAAACACACAGTGATATCAGATGATACTGGAGCAACCTCCATTATTTTTTTCCATCTCCTCCCCTTGCCATTCATTCGCCATCAGCCTCTCCCTAGCTCCTTTAATCATCCTGAACTCTGAGACTCAGAATCCAGTCACTGCCAGAGCTGAGCATCCTGGTGACAGATCGTCTTGTTGCTGAAAATCATCCATTTATACTATTTTACTCTTTCTCGTTCCCAGACTGCGCCCACACACTGTGATTTACTGGGAACCAAATAACCCCGCAATGCTCTGTTTCAGCGGTCATCTGCTGTAATGATAAAGCCACTAAACTCTCTAGGTTCATCTGTCATGGAGCAAACGGCTGAAAACACAACCCTCCTCTTGCCAGCTATGAATGAATGATTGAGCAAGGCTGATCTCTCTTCCTATTGGAGTTTGACCATCAGTCCATCAAACCCAGGAAATATCCTTCCAACTGAATTCAGCCTTTGGAGTGGAAAACAGCCACCCATTCTTGATCCAAGGTCTAGATGAGTGGTTCCCAAACTCGGGTGGTTCCAGATGTTATTGGACTCCAACACAACATCTGGGGACCCAAGGCGGGGAACCACTGCTCCAGGGAGTGACAGACTGAGATTCAATGATCTATGGAAGTGTAAGGCTTCTAGGAGTTCATCTGGGGACCCAAGGCGGGGAACCTCTGCTCCAGGGAGTCAAAGACTGAGATTCAATGATCTATGGAAGTGTTTCCCAACTTTAGATTCCCAGATGATCTTGGACTACAACTCCCAGAAATCCTGTCCAGCACAACGGGTGGGAATAGCTTCTGGGAGTTTTGAGTCCGAGAACATCTGGCGACCCAAGGTTGGGAGCCACTGGTCTAGGTCTTCCCCTCTTGGATGGAACAACTACAATTCCAAACATTTAAAGTTGACAATAAAATGTGGCAGTGAAGTCCCGTCTCCTAAAAGGAGTGCCCTTCAGCCTGGAATCCGGCCAGAGTATCCCTCAATAAATCAAGGATATGAAAATGTTGCTGATTTCACGTAGGTATTATCTATTATGTTCAACCACAAGCATACTGCGTCCATTCCATCTCAGAAAGTAAAGGGGTTCAGTGATCTGGATGATGACCTATGGGTAGGGTCATTTGATTCTCCGCTCTGCCTCCTGGGAGAAAAGCCAGCCTATATAGCCTTGGGCCAGCTGCACAGTCCCAGGGCTCCCCCTAGAGGAAAGAAAGGGTAAAACCACTTCTGACTACTCAGAAAACCGTGAAAAGGGCCGTCATAAATCAGAATTGATGCACAACAATTAACCTGGCTGGATCAAAAAGTGGGATACGCATCTGGCTGTGGAGCCAGAGGTTGGGAGTTCGATTCCCCCACTGGGCCTCCTGGGAGAAGAGCCAGCCTGTGTAGCCTTGGGCAAGTGGCACAGTCCCGAGGGCGGCCCCTAGAGGAAGGGAATGTGAAGCTACTTCAAACCATCTACTACCTTAAAAAAACACCATCAGCTGAAATTTGATGATTAATTAAACAAATTCACCACGACAATCTTTTGCTTTCATTGTGTGATTAGTTTAACTCTTTCCACTCCAACGGCTTGTTGATCGACAGAGCTACAGCCGGAAGATTGGGGCACACCCTACAGGCTGAATACTGACACCTTTGAAGTCATCCCCTTGACACACGCACACCAGCCACCCCAGAAGTCCCAACAGTCGCATTCCAGTGGCGGGCAGTCCCAGAGGCAAAACAATGGGACAAAATATATCAGCATATTTTGCCTGAATCACTTGCAACCAAGCCTTAGAAGAGGCATTTCTGACTTTTACAGATCCACTGATAGAGCTATTAAAAAAAACTCTGGAAAAATTAATGAATGGTAGTATCACAAAGATGGGAGTGTGATATTTTGGGAAATCCCCGGTGGGGGAGGAATTCAGTCAGGATGGAAGCAGGAATCACCCTGGGGGTTCCCTAAGGCCAACAAGGAAGGGCTGGCTGAAGATTAACCAAAATTCCCCCTTCAAGTTGTAAACATACTTCTCTGTGTGTTTTGTGGGTGGCGTCTTCAGAAACTATCTCTCAACTACTTTTCATTACGACTGGCTGAAAAGCTCATGCTGGCGTTCCTCCCCTCCTTCCCGGGGGGTATGTGTGACTTTCATTGTGGTTTAGCGGGAGAAAATCAATTTTCTCCAGGACTGTAACAAACTCAAGAGAAACCATCTCCGTTTAATTTTCAATTTAGGATCTCCAAAGGAATCCGTTTCATGCGGCTTAAACAGAAGTTACGGACATTAATTATGACAACTCCAGAAAGAAAAACTAAGTTTACGACTTGGGAGGCTGAAAAGATTCATTTAGAAATAGGGAGTCGGATTCCTTTCACCCATCTGGACACATATATATATATATATGCTGATACTCCCTCTGTATATTCCTTGCAAGTCATCACAATAGGTTATGTCCCTAGTTCCTATCCGTGGTGTCTCTTTAACTCTGTCCCTCCACAGAATCTTTGAACAACATCAAAAGATGAGCCGTTGGTTAAGAAGATCAGCAAAGGTTTTACATCTAGGAGTGTGTGTGTGTGTGTGTGTGTCATTTTACCTGCAGTTTCTAGCCACTTCTTCCAGTTAAAAGAACTGCTGGGGCTGGTCACAATTCCTTTAAAAAAATGTAAACAAGAATTGTAGTTTTTATTGATAATAATAATAAAAAAAATTAGAACAGAACAACAAAACTACTCCAAAACTACTGTAAACAGGCGTGCGTTAAATCAGGAAATCCATAGCCCTCCAGAGGCTGTTGGAATACAACTCCCATCTACCCCCAGACCACAAGGCCCGTGGTCATGCGTGAGAAAAGGGGCCACCAGCTCTTCAACGGTCCTCATCTCTAAAAGGAAACTCCTTGGAGCGTGGGGCTGTTTCTAGCAAAACGGTGCCATCAAACATGGGGAAGCGATCATCGCAAAGCCCCCATTTTCGGCCAGCTGATCGGCAGTTCCAAAACGGCCGCCGGAAAAACAAAATGGCCGCCCGCTCTTTTGCCTCGCTTTAGAGCCACCGAAAATGGCCACCCCTATGGAGGATCTTCGCATAAGGTCAGTTTCTAAGCCCATAGGAACGCATTAAACACGTTTTAATGCGTTTCTATGGGCTTTTTTATTCTGTTTAGCAATGAAATCGCTTAGCAACGTTTTTCCTGGAATGGATTAACGTCGCTAAGCGAGGCACCACTGTATGAGGAATTTAACATAATGAGTTAAACTGATATCCAAAGGTTACGCCAGTACAATGTAGATACACTGATTTCTTTAACCACACACACACACACACACACACACACACACAAAGGGAAATTATGTCTCAAGCAAACACCCAGCAACATCACCCTCTACACTTTTATCTCCTTGTGATGCCTTTGATGGGTGTTCTGTTATCCCCAGGGCATGACATCTTTTGTGGTTTTGAGTTCACACCGGAAGAAGCAGCAAACTTCAAATGCTTACCTTGAGGCTGGACATGTATTTTGTTCCTGGCGTGAGGCTTGAAAATCAATTAACAAGGAAAGAAAACAAGAACGGTCAATTGTGAAGAGCAAGGGGTCAGCAAACCTCCATAGATTCAGGGGCTGTTTTTCTGGTACAGTAACTGGTCAAGGGCTGCGCCCTAGGTATGGGATCTTCAGGTCTTCCGAACTACAGATCCCATAACTCTCCATTCTGGGAGTCCCACCTGAGAGACGCACACTTATAGACGACTATAGTAGCACCTCGGTTTGCGAACACCTGTTTACGTAATTTTTGGCTCACGAACAGAAATCCGTAAGAAATAAAGCCCCGATTTATAGTCCCACCTGAGAGACGCACACCTATAGACGACTACAGTAGCACCTCGGTTTGCGAACACCTCAGTTTATGCAATTTTTGGCTCACGAACCGAAATCCGTAAGAAATAAAGCCCCGATTTACACTGTTTTTTTTCCTTTTCTTCGCACTATGAAAGGGTTTTCCCAGGGCGCCTCGCGCCTATAGAGCCGCCCTTTTCGTAGCGGAATTGGCGTTTCGGTTTGCAGAATGTCAGTACTACGTAACAGCAGGTAGAACAGATCCGTTTTGCAAACCGAGATGCTACTGTACATTTCGCTCGCCTTGGAAAAAGGCCTAGCTGGCTTTCCAGGCCTAGCTGCACCCTAGCTTCCTGTTCAAAAAGGAAGGTGAATTACAGCTGCTCGGGCCATTCAAACGAGCTTTAATCCATATTTATGGTAACCGCCAGCTGATTTAATAATTGGACACAATTACCCGGTTCAAAAGCTGGCTTTAAAAACGTAAGATAGATCCTGGAATTAACACTAGTGAGGTTTTCTCACATCCAACAGCCAACATTTGTTCTGTTGACGGACAGCGAACCATGATGAACAGTTAATAAAGGTGGTGGTTTTGATCAGGAAAAACAGGTTTCCATCAAAGGAGGTGTAATTTGCTTTGAGAGCAAAGAATCATAACTGAAGAATCCACTTATCCAGAGCAGGGCTTTCTCCCTATATCAAATTAAATTAAAGCCCTGTCTGCAATCGTTATCAAACACTGCATTTATATAGGGAGGAAAATCTTCCTAGCTTCCAAGTGCCCCAAATTCAACCCCTCTTCCTGTTTGGAGTGTTTTGCCACCCATTGTATGCAAAAAGTGGTCCCGTAAACCAGGAGATCTGATCGGAATCCTGTTTCCAGACCTGAATTTCTACACAGTTTGCTTCTGAGTGTAGTAGTCCAAAAAAAGGCATAGCCACAAGCTCCAGATTCAAGTACCGTGAGAGTTAAAAAAACAAAATGGCCAACCTTCAGCTAGGCCTAGCTAGGCCTCAAAGCCTTCCAGTTAAGGCCTTTCTCCCAGGTGAGTCACATTTATGTGCCTGCCAGGCAGGACTTCCAGAAGGGGGAGTTATGGGACCTGTAGCCCAAGGAATAATAATA